TGGGGGGGGGGGGCCCAGCACAGACCCGCAAGTGTGCCTGGGCCTCAGCTGGGTGCTGGGAGAGTGGGGTAGGAGGCAGCAGGCAGTCAGAGCCTCACTGTCCTCCCCACAGGCTACCGCCACATCCATCTCCTCTCCAAGGATGGCACCAGCATCCCACCCTCTTCGCTCTTTGTCCACATCCGCATCACCGAGCCACCCAGCCCCGAGCAGGACTGAGCTCATGGAGGGAGCAAGACCTGGACAGAAGCCATATACCAAGCCCTAAGTGGCAGGGGCTGCAAAGCCAACTTCATTGCCGTCTTGTTGAGCCGTATGCATCATCCCTGTGTCATCATCACTGCTGTGCCCCTCTTGGCAGTAGCCTCCAAGGGCTGGGACAAGGCACTGACCTCACCTTGCCAGGTTCAGGATGCTGCCTCCCATGCACAAGTGTGGGGTCTGTGCCGGTGTAGCCCTGTGCCCTCCATGTGCACCCTGCTCCAGCCGTGGGGGCAAGGAGAGATGGTGCATGGTGTCCCGGCTCTGCCACAGGGGCTGGTCCCCCCAGCCAGGGGAGCGCGGCCGGCGCTGAGCAAACCCCAGGGCTGGGCAGAGCTGGGAGAAGAATCGGTCCTTGCTGCCCGCTGACCCTGCCAAGCCCCATCACGGCCCCCATCCCCTCCTCATCCCTGCCCCATCCTTTCTCTGTAAGCAACCTAATAAATTGTTTGGTGACAGGCAGGCTCAGGTCTGGGTGCAGCGGTGCTGGGGAGAGACAGGGAACTGGGCTCAGGCTTGTGCCCCTTCCCTCTGGGCACCTGACCCACTGTTCACACAGGGCTTCAAACAGCCCCGAGAAACAGTGGTACAAGGAGCAGAGAGTTTACTTTTATACAGCTGCGTATTTTACAACCCATATACATACACGCCTGTACACATGCACACAACTCCACAGCCTGGGCCGCTGGGGCCTTAAAGTGGTCAGGGTTTGGCCTCACTGGGAAGCACCATCCTTCTCTGTGGGGTGCTCTCCTTCCTGCCCCGCTCCGGGGTGCCCCTGAGCCTGGCTCTCCCTCTGCACGGCCTGGAGGTGGACAGGAGGCGTGCCAGGGTCCTTGCCCACCCCCTGGCTGGGGTCGCTGGCTCCGCACTCGGGGTGATGCCGCTGGATGTGTTTGATGACCTGGAACTTCTGCTTGGCCTTGTAGGGGCAGTAGCGGCAGAAGAAGGGGTGCTCGTTGGTGTGGGTCAGGTAATGGTGGCGCAGGCCGGCCGCCCAGCGGAAAGCCCGCCCGCAGGCGTTGCAGACGTAGGGCTTCTCCTCGCTGTGCTTCTTCAGGTGGGTCTTGAGGAGAAAGCGGGTCTTGAAGGCCTTGCCACACTGCTCGCAGATGAAGGAGCGGGCCTCCCGGTGCCGCGTCTCCCTGTGCACCCGCAGGGCGTCTGCCCGGTTGGTGCGGTACTCGCACTCGTCGCAGCGGTACGGCTTCAGGCCTGCGGCAGCAGGAAAGGGGATGGCACCGGGACAGGGGCGCAGCACCCTCCACCCCGCGGGTCTCGCCATCCCTGTAGCAGAGCACCGATCCCCAGGGACTCGCCACAAGACCCCTCATTTCCAAGGCACCACGCAGCACCCGCGGTCCATAGCATCCCACCTGCCCTCCCGCCCCGGGGCACTGTCCCCGACCCACCAGCATACGAGGAACACGCTGCCTCCCAGCTGGGACAGGGGCGCAGCACCCTCCACCCCACGGGTCTCGCCATCCCTGTAGCAGAGCACCGATCCCCAGGGACTCGCCACAAGACCCCTCATTTCCAAGGCACCACGCAGCACCCGCGGTCCATAGCATCCCACCTGCCCTCCCGCCCCGGGGCACTGTCCCCGACCCACCAGCATACGAGGAACACGCTGCCTCCCAGCTGCTGGGTGTCCTCCCCCAGCTCCGGCTGGGCCACTGGTAGCAAAGAAAGTGTGCCCACAGCCCCAACACCCTCCCTGGTGCCCCACAGGCTGTCCCCGGTGGGCAGCACTCACCTGTGTGCTTTGTCATGTGGTACTTGAGCTGGTTCACCCACTTGCACTTGTAGCCGCAGTCAGGGCAGAGGTACTTCCGCTCCTCCTTGTGGATCCGCATGTGGTACTGGACACAGGGCAAGAGGGCAGGGTCAGGATGAGGCTGCGTCCCCTGCCCTGGGAACGCGCAGGGTGCTCTGGGGTGCCAGTGAGGGGCTCACAGACAGCTCTGGCATCTCTAACGGCACGGGGCGAGGAGGGCTGTTCGCTTGCCTGGCAGACTATGGGCAGGAGGGATCCACAGCGGAGTCAGGATGAGAACCCCGTACTGCTGAGCTTGCTCTGTCCCAGCCTGTGGATGGCACAGGCTTCTCTGCCCGGTTTGGTGCTTGGGACAAAGCCTGGGTTAAAACCCAGACCAACAGAGCCAGCCCTGAGCAGAGTACATTGTGTAGCCTCTCCCAGGAGGCCTGGGTTAAAACCCAGACCAACAGAGCCAGCCCTGAGCAGAGTACATTGTGTAGCCTCTCCCAGGAGGCCTGGGTTAAAACCCAGACCAACAGAGCCAGCCCTGAGCAGAGTACATTGTGTAGCCTCTCCCAGGAGGCCCCAGAGGGCTCCAGCTCAGCCTGGCCATTAAAAAAGTCAATACTTCTTTTAGCAAAACCAGATCATTTTCCTCTCCATTATGCCCTGTATAGCCCTCCTGTTCTAGGGAGGGTCCTTCACCCTGCTGGAGGATGCTAATCGCCTACAGCAATGAGGGCAGGGCCTGGCTCTGCCTGTGGGGAAGCCGAGCTTCCCTGTGCCGTGCCTAACTGGTGCCACGGAGCACGCTGTGAGCCAGCAGACAGCCAAACGTGGCGTCTGGCGTTGCGAGGCTGTACCCAGAGGACACCAGAGATGTCCACACAAAGAGGTGAGAACTCTGACAGCTGCCCACCTTCTCATTTCAGTACAAATCCCCCTTCCCCTTCATCTGCAGCTGCAGGGGTGGGGAAGAAACGCACTGTACCCACAAGTGTTACCTGCTCATCTCCCATTCCCGTGCTAGTCACAGAAGAGGACAGGGGACGAAGCCTCCCATCGAGAGTTTCTTCTTCCTCCCCAAATTTGCCTCAAACACATATCTCTGAGCGGGGCTCTCACCTTGAGACGCGAGGGGTCGGCACAGGCGTATTTGCAGAGGTGGCACTTGTAGGGCTTCTCGCCAGTGTGGATGCGGATGTGCCACGTGATCTTCTGCCTGTTCTTGGTGGTGTACTCACAGTCCAAGCACTTGTAGATGCGGGTGCCGCCGTGGCCCTTCACATGCTGGTCGAAGACGAGCTGGTGGCAGCAGGTGAAGTCGCAGAAGGGGCACCGCAGGGCTTTGTCCTGTGGGGCAGAGGGCTCGTGGGTCTCCACGTAATGCCACACCAGCTGCTGCCGCTCCTTGGCCGCAAAGCTGCGCAGCTCACAGCGGTGGCTGAAATGCCGCGTCTTGTGCTCCTCCAGAGCCTCCCGGGTAGCGAAGCTCTCCTTGCATGTGCTGCATTCCAGGTGCGGGTGCTGCTTCTGCACGTGGTACTTGAGCGTGGCCTCGCTGTGGCAGAC